AGCGGGAGTACAAAAGTTAGGTTGGATGTTGAAATCTGGAGGTCTGTATACTCAGTCTGTAGATGGAGATTGCAAACTGAATTAGTCATTGAGAAGACTGCTTGCAGGTGTCAGAATTCTGGGATGAAGAATCAATTCATTAAACAAACAAACAAACAAACAAACAAACATAAACCCCAATTGTTATCCAAATAAAAAAAGCTAAAAAGGCTACTAAAATAGAGCCATGCATTCCAAGCACATAACTGATTACAAGTAAGGGAAAGACCTGGGGAGGTGTATGGGGTATATGACCTTTCAACTTTCCCAAAACCTATTATTTCCAGGATTAGATTACAATTTCTACCATCCCTGACCTTGGGCCTATCTGGAGGATTCTGTGCTGGTTACCCCTATGATTCTGTGCTTCTATATGCTTACAAAGAACCACCAGTCGCCTTGATCATTAGTCTTTTGTGGGAGAAGTGAAAAGAGACAAGTATTGGATTTAAAAAAACTATTGCAATAGCACTGTAGCAAAAGTATTTTCCCACAGTCAACATAACCATGCAACCCTCCTGACTTAACAGAATTATCAAAATTATTGGAATTGGTCTCCCCTTCCTTAAACTTTTGCTCATGTCATATTAGTGATCACCCAGTGGTTAATTCATGTCTCAGAAATTATGCAAGCAACAGTTTTAGTCTCTAGTGCATAACTCTAGGACATGGTTAATGCACACAGAAAGCAGCAGTGGGCCACTTCAAAATCAAATGCATGTTCTAACTGATGTGGTTCTTTCATTCGGCACATAGGCATTGAAAAATATAATGGCTGTGCTATAAGAAATTTATTTTTCTGTAAATTTGGTGAAAATCTGATTTTGCTGCCACACAAAGGCACATGAGTACGTAAAAAGAGCCTGGCTGGATCAGACCAAAAGCCTTTCTAGTCCTGCATCCTGTTTCCCACGGCGGCACACCAGGATTCTTATGTGAAACCCACAAAAAGGACATGAAGGCAATAGCTGTCTCTTGCATGTTGTTCCTAAGCAACTGGAATCCAGAGACATGCTACGTCTGATTTTGAAACATAAAAAGGCCCAGATGTTGTAGTCTCTCACCAGGGAGTTAGTTTCTCCATTCTCCTGAGGAAGGAGAGGGTTGAGGTGGTGGGGAGATTGGCATGATATAAACACACCACCAGGAGCACTGGATTGGCTCTGCCGTTGCACTAGCACTGTGCCAAGCTCCTCATTGACACTTGCCCTCTCCCTACCAGTGACCTGTCTGCCAAGGAGCTAATGGCTTTACCCCATGCAGCAAGCCACTTCTGATGTAAGCAAAGAAGGCAACAATGTCTGGTGCTATCTTGATATCAAGGAAACAGCTTAAAATTATCACCTGGGAAGTTTGGAATCATGTGATACTGACACCAGCATAGTACTAGCGGGCTTACATTGTATTTGCCTTATCATATAATGAGCAGGACACAAACTTGCTTTATCTCTTAAGGATAACAGAAAATAAATATCTGTTGTGCTCCTATTCAGTAACCAATCTGTCTTGAAAAAAATGAGCCTGAAAGTCTCAATAGTGCTGTTATAGCAACATTTCTACTAAACGAAACAATTAAAACCAATTAAAATTCTTAACTGCCAGTTACAAGCCAACTAAAAATGTCAGTTAACTTGGCTCCATATGGCTCACATATTTGACTTTGGCTTGGATCCTAAGAGAAGTTAACTTAAGTAACTTTGAAGCATGCAGTATTGGTACATTAATATTTATCCATTATAGTGCTGCCCTAACACACAAACCATAAAAGCTAATGGATGTATACAATATCCACATAAGGTATATTATAAGTGGCACAATGAAGATAAACAATTTGGCTGTAGGAATAATTCCAAGAAACCTGTATTCACCAGCAGTCATGTGATTACAATAGATTTCTAGAAAATGTAAGAATAGCTCTGCTGGACCGGGGCAGTGCCCCATGTAATCCAGTATTCTATTCTTACAGTGGCCAACCAGATATCTATGTGAAGCTGGCAAGATGGAGCTGAGTGCAACAGTACTCTCCCCTCATGAGGTTTCCAGCAACTGCTTCCCAGAAGTATTATTATCAAAAACGAGGACACAAAATACATGATAAAAACAAAAACAAAATGAATAACCCTCCTCACACAAATGCAATTAAAAGGCCGGCATAGGCTGTTAAGCAGCCCAAGTCCTGATGTTTTTGCCTGACACCTAAAGTTATGTAATGAAGGTGCCAGGTGAGCCTCCCTGAGGAGAAAATTCCACAAATGGGGAGCCACCACAGGAAAGGCCTGTTCTTGTGCTGCCATGCTCTGGAGATTTCATGGAGGAGGCACACAAAGAAAAGGCCTCAGATGATGATAATAGGATCTGAGTTGGTTCGTATGAGGAAAGGTGGTCCTTGAGGTATTGAGGTCCTGAGCCGTTTAAGGCTTTGTAGGTCAAAACCAGCACTTTGAATTGAGCCTGGAAACTAATTGGCGTCCAGTGCAATCAGGCCAGGAACTATGTAATATGCTCAAACTGTCTTGCCTTGGTGAGCAATCTGGCCACCGAACTCTGCTGAAATTTCCAAGCCACCTTAAGAGGCAGCCCAACACATAACGTGTTGCAGTAATCTAACCTACCCTTACAGAAGCCATGCTAGTTCAGCAGCAGCAAGACTTGTTCTTCTATATGCTTGGTTATCTTATCTTTAACAATACCTTTCACCAGTTTTCCAGGGGAAAAGTCATAGAATTGTTGACTTGGAAGGTATCCCAAAGGTCATCTAGCCCACCCCCTGCAATGCAGGAATTTCAAACTTAAGCTAACTAACATAATTTCCAGGAAACCCCATCTCCCATTTCCCTTTTTTAAAATTGGTGTTACAGTGGCCACTTTCCAGTCATTGGGTATTGAGGCTGATCTTATGAACAAGTTGCTTTTCTAAAATATAGAGAACTCTTGGTTGGATGCCATATGGATCCAGCAATTTGTCATTCCACCCCCCCCCTGTCTATTAGGCCTAGAACTTCAACTCTCATCAACACTATTTTTCTCAGTTCCTCAGACTCCCTTTCTACAGAAGCTAGTTCAGGCACAGTGGTTTGCCTTATATATTCTGCTGTGGAGACAAATGCAAAGAATTCATCCGCCTTCTCTGCAATCTCATTATCCTTCTTTATCACACATTTGATTCCCTTGTCATTCAGGGGTCCAGCTGCCTTTCTTGCTACTAATGTAATTAAATATTTTTGTTGGTGGTGGTCTTTATGTATTTTAGCAATATAATATGCTCCTCAAATTCTTTTTTTGGCACCCTTTATAGCCTGTTTGCATTTCTTTTGCCACAGTTTGTGTTCCTTTTTTCTTTTCATCATTTGGAGAAGACTTTCATTTTTTAAAGGAAGCCTTCTTGCCTCTTCTTCTTTCTTTGACTCTGCTAGTTAACCATGCTGACATCCCCTTGGTACTTTCCCTGATTTGTGATATACAATACAGTGGTACCTTGGGTTACATACGCTTTAGGTTACAGACTCTGCTAACCCAGAAATAATACCTCAGGTTAAGAACTTTGCTTCAGGATGAGAACAGAAATCGTGCAGCGGCAGTGCAGCGGCAGCGGGAGGCCCCATTAGCTAAAGTGGTGCTTCAGGTAAAGAACAGTTTCAGGTTAAGAAGAGACCTCCAGAACGAATTAAGTTCTTAACCCGAGGTACCACTGTATTAGAAGCTCAACTGGAGTGCATTTTAAACAACTGCCAAACATTTTTGAGTGATTTGATCTGCTTGACTTGCCCTTCAACTTCCTTTTTACCAGTTCCCTCATTTTGGGGAAATTTCCTCTTTAGAATTCAAATGTTACTGGATTTGATTTTTGTAGGCAATTGACCATTTAGATTGACAGTGGTGCCCCACAAGACAAAATTAATTCGTTCCGCAATTTTTGTCGTCTAGCGAATTTTTCGTCTTGCGAAGCACGAAATCCCATAGGAATGCATTGAAAATCAATTAATGCGTTCCTATGGTCAAAAAAAGTCCAAACAAAGCCAAATTTGGTACAACAACAGTTTATTAACTGCTCTTTAAAGTCACACATACTGTAAAGAGCAGTTCAAAAATTGAAGGGAAAATAAATTAACTTTATAAACAAAGCATGTCTTTGTTTTTAGACAAAGAAAACAAAGTCGCGAGACGTTTTCGTCTTGCGAAGCAAGCCCATAGGGGAAATTCGTCTTGCGAGGCAAATCGAAAATGGAAAAACCTTTCGTCTAGCGAGTTTTTTGTCTTGCGAGGCATTCGTCTTGCGAGGTACCACTGTATATTAAATTTAATAGCACTATGGTCACTGCTCCTAGTTGGCTCAAAAACACTTATATCCCACACCAGGTCCCGAGTGCTTTGTTCCTCTGGTCAGTTCCATGGCCAACATTTAGGGTATCTAGAAAATTTTACCTCTTTGTCATGACTGGAACACATACGTAGCCAGTCTATGTGAGGGTAGTTGAAGTCATCCATCACTGTGTTTTCTCTTTTGGATGTTTCAGTGATTTCATTCTTCATTTCAGGATCTCCCTGAACATTTGGATCATAGGGACAATAGTATGTCCCCAGTAGTAAATTGCTCTTGGGGACTGGTATCACCACTTACAATGCTTACTGGAAAAGTCTTGCCAATCATAAGCATTGTGTTCAAAACTTTTAATCTAACAGCACTGCTTCCATATTGAATACCAGTGTTTTCAAAAAATCCAGCTGCTTTTAAACATTTTGAAGTTCAGTTTATCTAAGTGGGTAATAGTTATGCACGTGTTTAACTTTCCCACAAAAATTAGTTAAACTTAAAAAGGCTTCATTTTTTAGTGTGCAATCCAGTCAAATGATTTTACGCATTTAACTTGGGCCTATATCAACACCCCACATATTAAGAACAAGCAAAGTCAACTCTTATATATTAATGTGAATATATAGCAACATAAAAACCGTGATCTTACCCTTGTTTTTCAGGTCATTTAATAATTTGGATTCCTTGTGAAGAATATCACTCACTAGTTTGATCTCTACATTTTGAGACAGCAGGTCTTGCAACTTCTCAAACAGATGCTGCCCCTTGTAGGAAAAACAACAAAGGAGACATGCTTAGGAATGATGATTAGACACACAAAAATATACAAAATCAATTAATATACATTCAGGTGTCTATTTTGATATAATGTTTTATGCTTCAGTGGAACTTGAATCTGTCTTCTGAAAGAAGCATTTAAAATTACTAAATTATGAGCTGGGCATGTTTAGCCTGGATAAGAGGAGGTTAAGGGGTGATATGGTAGCCATGTTCAAATATATAAAAGGATGTCATATAGAGGAGGGAGAAAGGTTGTTTTCTGCTGCTCTAGAGAAGCGGACACGGAGCAATGGATCCAAACTTCAAGAAAGAAGATTCCACCTAAACATTAGGAAGAACTTCCTGACAGTAAGAGCTGTTCGACAGTGGAATTTGCTGCCAAGGAGTGTGGTGGAGTCTCCTTCTTTGGAGGTCTTTAAGCAGAGGCTTGACAACCATATGTCAGGAGTGTTCTGATGGTGTTTCCTGCTTGGCAGGGGGTTGGACTCAATGGCCCTTGTGGTCTATTCCAACTCTATGATTCTATGATTCTATGACATTCATAAGAGGCATCATAACATTCTGTGTCTACAATAAGAGCGCTTTGCAAGGTATGCAACTTCTTAATGCCATGCAGTTAAAATAATTTGAAATCCCTGCTCAGCCATGAAGGTCTCCAAGAAACCCTAAAAAAACAACTATCTCACAGCCTAGCTTATTTCGCAGAGTTGTTATAAGAGCAAAACAAGATAAGGGGATACTGCAATCTTCTCTGAACTCTCGGAATAGGGTGATGGTGAAATCTAAATAAATAATTTCTCTCGTATATTTTGTCACTTTGCAGTCTGAACTCCAGGGAGATGCTAAGATCCTCACGTAGGTGGAATTTCACTCTGGATTTATTTATTTTGCTTCAAAAATTTCCATTGATGCAATAAGAGCATGGCAATGATTTAAGCTGAAGTGCTATCTTACACAGCAATGTGTTCTAAGGACAAAAATAGATGCAACTGTGGGAGACCAGTTCACTGTTCACATATTTTAAAGAACTGGAACTTACTTCAGAGGAAAACAGAGCATGAGAGGTTCCAGCTCTGCTCAGGGGCTGAGCCATTCCATTACAGCCTCTGCCCACCCTGGAAACCCCTTGCTTTACATGTGAATGGGATAAACACATAAACAAATGTGATATTGCCATGTCATTGTATATAATTTGGCCCTGGGATGCCCAACTGCTGGTGGTTTTTTTCCTTCTGATATTTCTGAGAATCAAACTCTTATATGGTGGCTGTGGCTATGAAGCTTTAGTCACTGCTCTCTGAATGTTTTTAAAAAAGTTTTATTAAGAGCATAGGCGCCGACTCCATGGGGCTTGAGGGGGCCCGAGCCCCCTCAAAAATTCGTTTGGGGGGGCTCCGCCCCCCCAATAATCTCCGGCGCCCCTCCAGCAGAGCGCCATCGCCACCCCTCCCCCAGCCCAAAATGCACAGGGAGGGTCGGGCTGCATGCCTCCTGCCCTCCCTCCCGAGCAAAAGCTCCACCCAATTTCCTTTGGCCAGATACCTCCTCACCTCTTTTACTCTGCTAGACCGGGTGCTCACAAGAGAGCAGCTGTGAGTCCCAGAACACCAGGACCCCTTCCTGGGATCGCTGCGTAGCTGTTCCAGTGCCGGAGGAGGCCGTGGGGTCTGCAAGAGTGTTCCCTTACGTTCCCCCACCTGCCCCACAGGCAAGCTGGATACATTTGCATCAAATAGATATGAAACCTGTTTCATTGATAGAGAGTAGGGGGTGGGATCCCCTGCTCAGGCCCTGGGGATGAGGGGTTGAAATGAAGGAGGAGAAGGACCGCCCGGAGGACGGCCTTGCAGAGACAACAAAGCAGCCTTGTCGGGTGAGAGAGACCTCAGGCGACCCCTCCGGGCCTTTCACCCCTCGAGCTGTTGATACAGCCGGGACTAAGAGGCCATCCAAACACCCCAAATCCCATTCACCCACGCAGGACGACGAGCCAGAGTGGGCCCCTCCACCTATAAACTCCCCTCCTAGTGATCTGCAGCGAAGAGGCTTGTAAACCCTTCAATGGAGTCCCGAAACCCCTCAATGAAACATCAGGATTTCTCAAAGAACCATCGCTGACCAATGGGCATCGTCCAAGGTGAGAGGCAGCCAATCCGAAGTCAGGAAGCAGCAGCCCCGTGTCTGGAGCGCGCGATCCGCCAGGAGAGCGCAAGAAACCGAGAGCAGAAAGCGGGGAAGAAGCGCGCTACAAAATGTAGCAACAGCGGATACAATGTTTCCTCCTGTTTCCTTGTTTCTTGCAAGACAGAAACAGAGGGCGATCCAGGGCTCCCCTCCCTCCCTCCCTACCTCCCTAGCAGAAGGTCCTTGGAGCTGATTAATAGGCGCAGCACGCTCTCCCCTATTCGCTCACGAGGAGGCGGCACCACTTTATTTGCATATTCATGAGCTTATTTATTATTCATGAGCTTTCCCGGGCCCCCCCAATATTTTTTATAAGTCCGCGTCCCTGATTAAGAGCCCCTTGTACCACTGTGCAAGGACTCCCTTCTCTTTAAGACAATAACAAACTGCTGTGAGTGTCTTACATTTCATGAAAATCTCCCCCCCCCAATGTCAACTTATAAAAACTGGGAGGAGGATATAAAGTCAAGGAATATGAATTTTCCACGTATTATTGAACCTTCTATAAGAACGCTTAACAATGTTCCCATTGTTAAAAGGTGTCATATTTTGTCATGCAACAAATATGGAACATGCAACCCAGTATCAAATGAAAAAGAGTATACTATTGCAAGTTCTATCCTAAATACCATATTTTTCGCCCTATAGGATGCACTTTTTCCCCTCCAAAAATGAAGGGGAAATGTGTGCGCGTCCTATGGGGCGAATCCAGGCTTCAGGAAGCTCTGCGCAACCCTAGGGAGCCCGGTGCGAAGTCACGTCGGTCTCCCAAGGGCTGTGCAGAGCTGCCTGCAGTCCTGGGCTTCGCGCAGCTCTGTGCAACCCTAGGGAGCCCGGGCTTCGCGCAGCTCTCCGCAAGCCTGGGGAGACCGGCGCGACTTCCCGCTGGGCTCCCTAGGCTTGCGGATAGCAGGCTGTTCTGGGGCTGGGGTCGGGGGAAGCTCGGGCTTCCCCTGCGCCAGCCCTGCACCTGGGGGGGGAATAATTTTTTTTCCTTTACTTCCCCCCCAAAAAACCTAGGTGCGTCCTATGGGGCGGTGCACCCTATGGGGCGAAAAATACGGTACATACATACATATTTTTTTTTGTATGCCGCCTTTCTGTAGTTCAAACCATGCTCAAGACAGTTTACAACATGAAAAAATATGTAACTACAATACAACAAAAGTAGTCATAAACAATAAATTTAACATTATAAGATACACAACCAAGCTGATCAATTTCCTCATAAATCACAAGATCTAAAATAAAGAAACAAAAAACCAACAACAAAACAGCAACAACATCCCAGCCCAAAAGCCATCCTTGTCCAAAGGCTTCTTGCATTTTCTGAAACTGGACAGTTCATATAGATCTTTGCACATGAGCAAAGGTTTTCTTCTTCATTTGACTCTAGAGAAGCTCCACTTAGTTCTGCTTTTTCGAATTGGATCTTTATACTCCTTCACAACTTCCACAGTAGCCCTTGCACTAATGACATCAGCGCCAACAATGTCATCATTATAGCTTTGCATTCTACTGCATTTGTTTCAATGGACAATGTGCTATTGTTTGAATCCAATAGTGGTAAACAAAACTTCGAAAGAATGTTCAGTTAGAGTAACCAAATGTCTAACATCTGGACCTGAAAGTTTAGTTGTTATTCCTTAAAAATGCAATCCTTCATCTGATTGCATGTCACTTAAATCGTACTGATCTGCATCTGATGTATTACAGTTGGAAAAAAGAAATGGATCTGAAAGATCCTAAATGACTGCTTCTGTTTTAAATGCTATTATTAATTTTGCCCCCCCTTTTTTTGGTAAAATTCAGCAATTAGACATGCAAAAGCTGCAAAGAATTGTCCATAAAGGGGCAGGCTAAATAAGTAAACTTATTGATTCTAAGGTATTCCTGATTCAAACCCTTTGGATCTCAGTTAACATGTTATACAGTTATGATAAATGTTATGTGATAGGAGGGGATAGAAGGTAGATTTGGATCTGCTGGATCTTCATGGGTGATTTGCAGGAAATTGGAAAGGGTTTTTGACTCCCAACTATCTAACAACAGCTGAAAAGCGCACCCTACCCTAGTTTGGTTGCTTAAATATGAATGTGGGGTGTGTTTGATAAAACAGCAGTTGGCACGTGTAAACTTGGTTCAGGTACTGATTGCAAATTTGTGCACTTAGCATGTGTTCAGAGGCACGCTGTTTCTTAATTCTTAGTGTTCTTCCACTTGCTATTTTGCACCTAACTCTGTTTGGTGGATCTCAGGGGGTCTGGTAAACACAAATTAGATTCCATGTCTGCCCATCCCTGGTAGATGATATATGAAAGCATGAATATGTTTACCAGTTGAAAGTGCATGGCAGTGTATGCAGGGTGGTTGTTGTTGTACTCTTTCTTTTCATTTCTTTTTTAAAAGAAAATATCCTTACAATAAAATATGAAAATATTTCTGTGCTAGAATTAGGGAGTGTCTCTCTAAAATCTATTTTCCAGGACTCTCTCCGTTTCAGCATTAAACTGTTCACGTGATCTGAAATTATTAAGAAATTTAACTCACATTTAAAAGTGAATTTACCAAATTCGCAAACTGAAGTGCAGACTTCCTTTGAAACTGGAGATTCTCTGAATTTTTCAGTGCCGTTCTCCAGTCAAGTAACGTGTACGAAAATGCATATAGTAGGGTAAAGTTCATAAAATTCATATGTTGGTGAAAATAACATTTAAACATGCATCATATTGGGGGAAATTGCTTACGAAAATATGTATATTTCTTAAATCTGCATACAAAAGTATGTTTATTCAGAGAAACATTCCCTAAAATGCTGAGGGAGAGAAACTATTCTAGGCAACTGGTTCTTACGAAAAGGAAGTCTCATTTTGAGAACAAGCAAACAAGACGTTCTTAACAAAACTATATCTCAAGAGTTCAGACACAGAAGAGGATGAACAGTAAAATGCAAACCAAGCACCTGATCAAGGCCATGAACATTTAAAATAAAGCATACCTGGAATGCAGATGGATGACTGTGACTGAGGTCCCATTGGGAAGATACTATGTCAACAGACTTTTTAGCCATATTAAGTAAATTCATCCAGCCTTGGAAAAGAGACAAATGGGCCGGTGCACTGTCTGAATAGTTTATGCCTTCAGGAATATTTTCCACAAGAGCAACCCTGAGAAGACACAAAGAAAGGAAGACAGTTTACAAAACTACTCAACTGATTTAAATTTTTCCAATTTCAGAGGGATTTCTTACTTCCACCTCTGGTCTTGGAAGTATTTTACTTCCAAGGCATTTTAAATGTATGTATTGCTGCATGCTCGATACATTTATATATTTATAAAAACATTTATATATTTTTCTTTACTTCAATTTTTTAATGTGTCAAGAGATTTGGGGACCCACAATAGTAAGAACTTTATTTTGTTCCCACAGCAGATTTAGATGTTAAAAAAAGATCTGACTTAGTAGCATCTATCTGGATCTTGGAAAACCTCTTGAAATAGTTTCCTATAATTTGCTGACACTTTCCAACTACGTGTGGCTAAACATGTCAGAGAGTGTAGAATTTGTTCTAAAAATTGCTCGTGATCCTCCCCTCTCTGTCAGGGAGGAGGTGATGCATCCAGCTTACACATTCATTGCTTAACTTTTCATAGCTATTGGTCTTTTCTTTTTCTTACTTGGAATGACAAAGAGAAGGAAACTCACGTAGATATTAGGACTCGAACTCTGGCTCAAAAATATATCAAGTCCTAGCACCGAATTAAAACAACTTGTATTTCTTAGCACACTTAGTTCCTCAAATGCATAGTCAATTAATATGCCCCCTATTTTTTCCTATTATGATGCCCGTATTTCTGTGAAAACCCTGCTGTCTTCTTCACAAGAATATGCATACTCTACCGTCCCCTGGTTTTCATATCTTGCACACCAAAATGCTTGGGTGAGTCGTGTCACTCCAATCTTCCCTTCCTTCAGTCCCCGATGCTCCCTGCTCCCTGCTCTATAGCCCACCAGTAAGAGATATTAGGTTGATAGGTACTAGGGATTCAGTGGTAGCTCTTTATTCATAGAATTCCCTCCCCTATGAACCACTGGTGACTTTTAAAAGACCTCTTAAGATGTTTTTTATTTCAATCTGATTTTTATTAATTGTTGCCATTTTAAGTGAATTTCAATTTGATCTTATATGCTTTTATGTTTGCTGCGTAACTGCTTTGTACTTTGAGCATAATAATCCTGAAAATAAGTTTGTAAACCTTTTAATAAAATAAAATAAGCCACACCAGGTGGCTCCAGATTTGCAGGAACAGAAAAGGAGCAGCAAAACACCCTGTTCATCTGGCCAGCCACCTTGAAGGTATACTGTCTAGTAGCAGCTTTAATAAAAATGGAATGGATAGTTGCAGTTTCACCAGAACAGTTTCTAGAGAAAGCATGCTTGCTCATTTTCTGTTTCTTTATTTTAAATGCTACATTTGAAAAACAAATGTTACCTCAAGGCTGGCCATAAATATTTTAAATAAATATTATAACTAGCTCAGAGGGGTGTTACAATGATATATGAAATGTGTTCTGAAAAGAGCTATTAAAATAATAAACCTGAAGTGAACGTAGGAGGGGTCAATAAATAACATAGATGAGTACACAATTGGTACACAATTGCAGTGCTATGACGATTGGTTCTCATCTGAGAGACCAGTTCACATTCCAGCTCATCTATGGACATACAAAATAGAGATTATTACCTTTCTGTAAAAAAATAATAAAATGGAGCATCTTATATGAGCACTTTCAAAAATAAACATACTAGAACTATAAATAATGTTGCTGGTAAAATTATACTTCCAGGTTCTTCTGCAATGGTGAACCTGTTAATTTTTCTCTCACGTCACAATGAGTTGCTGGGTTTTGTATGAAATGTAAAACCAGAGAAGTCTCATGGGAACAGTTCGGTCTCATCAGCCATGTCACAACAACTAGCCTTAACAAAAATGGTGGCTAAAAAAGAAGAAGAAACAATGGAAGAAAAGGCTGCTCTGCTCAAAAATATGGCAACAAGTAGAAGGCTTTTAGAAGGATGAAGCTGTTTAATACATAACTTGTTCCATTTCCCCATTATCTACTTAAACCCTCAGAACATTCTTGTGACGTAAACAGACGAGCATTATCGCCCTCACATAATAGATTGGGAAACAGAACAGAAAGGTTGAGCAAGAGGGACAGTATGTGACCTAGAATTTGCACTTCTGTTCCAGGATAAAAATAGAGAGCAAGTTTATCTCTACCAACCGTATTGAAAGAATAATGGAACAATGGAACTAGGCCTCCGTAGGAATAACATTTGTCCTCTGCAAGAATACTCAGGATTACTTATAATGTGGCTTTTCCTCCACTCCTGCAGATAACTGCAGATAAAATAGCTCAATTGGTTAAAGTGTGGTGCTGATAACACCAAGGTTGCAGGTTTGCTCCCCCTCTGGGTCAGCTGTATATTCCTACATTTCAGGGGGTTGGACTGGATGATCTTCAGGGTTCCTTCCAACTGTATGATTCTATGAAAATGGGGTTTATGCTCAAATATATTCTGGGGTCACACACACATACACACACACACACAGAGTATATGAATGATACGGATATAGATATTTATCAATATATCACAAAGCAATGGGCAAAAAATTATAGTTAATTTTGTTAACATGAAATGAGGGTTTAATTATCAATCATGTGTCTTTGTTACATTTTCAGCTGTGTATCTGGATGTCAAACTACATGTGCCTGCACTTCTCCCTCACTTTAGGAAATGTATGCTGCAGACTATTTCTTTACAGCTGGAATTTGCTATGGATTAAGTCAACAAATGTTACACAACATATATAAGTGCTTTGCCATGTTATTAGGCGGTAACACATGAAACATTCCTACCACGTAGATATTCTTACTTGAGTTAAGTTACATAGCTCCCTAGGAAATTACCACTGTTGGGTAGTCACTGCTCACAGGCATTTGAATGTCACTTCAGTCATGTAAATCGGCAAAAGTTAAACTATATGCAGAAACCTCTTGAAATATGCTCAAGGGAAATGGCAGTTTGGAATATGAAAGCTCCATGACCTAACCTCATTAGCTATTTAATCTGTTAGCATTCTGTCAGGCTTAACTTTACAAATGGCTTTTAAAACAAGCACCACATTTTTCCTGTGCATACTTTCTGTCCTGTTCAAAAAACTGTTTATATGAAGTAGTGATAAATTGTATTCACTGAACAAGAAGGGGGATATTTATTACAAGAGAAATTAGATGTATGCACCAGTTGACTGTCACAATCAGTATTCATTCTACAGTGAGTTGGAGCATGTCAAATACTAAATGCTTCAGAGGCAAAAGGTTAAATGCTGTTACAAATATCCTGCACTCATGGCTGTCTTTGTAAGCAAGATATACAAGCCTTGGGGACCTGTGTGAAATCTATTTAATGAACAGTATTAAGGATGTTTCTGGCACATAATCAGTCCTCTTTTTTCTTCCATCTGCAGGATTGTAAACAGCAACCCAAAATGCTCAGAGTAATCATTATTAAGCACAACGATTTGGATCCAGACAGACTGAAATCCCACTTACCTGTGATTAAGCCCCTTTGAATTCACCAGGACTTACTGCTGAGTAGACATGGTTAGGATTGTAAGTAGGTGCAGTGAAATCACTTAAGTTCCATTGATTTCTAAGCACGACTAAATCTGAATCCAATGAATATTCTGAGCACTGATTCCAACCTAGTATATTGAATGGCAAAGGTTCTTTCTTTCATGGTGTGCATTTTTATACAAAGAATATAGCAACACACATCTAATGAACTTTAATATATAAAAGGTAAAGGACCCCTGGACAGTTAAGTCCAGTCCAAGGCGACTGGGGTGCAGCACTCATCTTGCTTCAGGCCGAGGGAGCCGGCGTTTGTCCACAGACAGCTTTCAAGGTCATGTGGCCAGCATGGCTAAACAGCTTCTGGTGCAATGGAACACCATTATGGAAGCCAGAGGGCACGGAAACACCGTTTACCTTCCAACCGCAGTGGTACCTATTTATCTACTTGCACTGGTGTGCTGTTGAACTGCTAGGCTGGCAGAAGCTGGAACAGACCAACAGGAGCTCACCCCGTTGTGCAGATTCAAACTGTTGACCTTCCGATCAGCAAGTCCAAGAGGTTCAGTAGTTTAAACCACAGCGCCACCTGCTCCCTTATACCTTAATATATATTAACTCTACAACTGCCATAGATACCTATGGTAGGTCTCAGGACATAACAGCCTTAATGGTTATAATATTTTCAAACGTAGGTGCTTTACGTGGGGTCAGGCAAAGTTAAGGAGTTTTTCTCTAAGGACATCAGGACTCTGGACAGTTCCCAGTGGACCATGTTGGCCAACCTGTGAAAGATTTGTCTGCTAAGAGCTAGAACCATTTGAAGTCTTATGTAGGTTGCAGAGTCCTGTAATGCAGCTGCCTCACTTACCTGAGGAGCTGACTCTGGTGACTGAAATGCCATTAGTTTAATTCTGTAGCTGCAAAGGAGTCAACTCCTGGAGGCCATGGGGCAAGGCCATTACAAAGTTGATGGACATTCCCATCCACATGGTGTGTGTGCACTGTGTCATGTGATTGATTATGTGGGGTGGGGCTTACCTGTGCCCCCACAATATTTTATTCAAGTTGGCACCTCTGTGCAGGTGTCAAGGATGTTGCTGAGGGCTCGTCCTGTGAGTCTGAGGAAGGCAGGAGAGCTGTCTCCTCAGTTCTGGAAAGTCTAAGAGAAGCTGCTCTGCCCGCCCCTGAGTGGTGTAGCTGGTAGTTCTTGCTCATCTGTGCCTTCCTCAGGATACTGCAAGGGGCTAGGTTCTGGGATCATGATGCCACAACCCCACCCCTCAAGTTGGTGCACAAGAATCTAGCAGACATGTTTTGGAGAAGTTAACACTCGCTTCCTCAATCCCAACCCAATTAGGCCATCATTCTGTACTTTAAGTGCAAATGAACCTCTTGGTCTTAGGCAGATATCTTTCCCAACCATGCTACTAAGACACTTTCTGTTGGAGAGAACAGGGATAAAATTGTGGCATTATGCATGCACACAAATGTTCTGCTGCTGAGCTATGTGGTTAACTTGCAAGAATTTTCTCAAGGAAATCAGTCAACATTACTGTAGAAGCAAGGAACCTCAGGCATTAATTTATCTGTCATCCAACTTAACAATGCCTTTGGAATAGGGAATCAAGTTATCAAGTCTGTTTGTATGGATATTTCATCTGTAAGTGTTAGCAAAAGACCAGCATTGAGTTTAAGCTAAGTGCAATTTGTCCTTCACATTTACCATAATATAAATGGGCACAGATGCTATTTTTTAAGTTGAACATTCAAACTTTGAAGTGGTAGCATATTTAAAGCAGCATTTGTTTTTATACCTGCATGCAATTATACATGGTCATGAAACCTCGGGGTGCATTTAAATATACCATTAATGCTGACATATTGCACCATAATGGACGCTTTCATGTCACTTTTGTTTCAGTCCCATGCTTTTACTGATTTAAGATTTTAAAGTCGGGAAAGGAGCAGGGAAGCAATAACTTGGGAAGGGGAGCTGTGGGCATACGTTTCAGAGCAATATTAGGGAATACAAGCGAGAGAAGAGGGAACAACAGTGCTTATTTTCTTTCAATTCAGCCTCAGTGCAAAAGAACACTATGGAAAGTTCCCATGGAATTGGGAAGCCCTTGTACATTTGGAGGATGTACACTGGTACCCTTATGAAAAATGAAAATAGAATTTTAAATATTTTAAGGTTTGACAAGGGGCACAAGTATTAAATGTACATGTGAGGGGGTAAAGTGGTGGGTGATCCACTTGCACTAGCCAGAGCAGTAGGCTGGAGAGATGTGTTTATTTCTATTTGGCCTGATAAGTCATTATTATTATTATTATTATTATTATTATTATTATTTAAAAAAACCTGCTTTGAAACCAATGGGTGTAAATTACCCATGCCAGCTTTAGGTTTGCCTAGGTAAAAGGCCTGATGTTGGGGCCTCTTGAGGGAATGGGTGGTGGGGCTTTGAATCTAATGGATGCATGTCCTCCTCTGCTCCGCCTCTATAATACTTAACCCGAGCTACTGCTAGCAGAAAAAACACAGGCACTACTAGATCTACACCTGTAGACTTTTCTGTGGGCATAGCAGGTTATGGCAGATAAGTTCCTTCAGAGCTCATCTGCACCATCCCAACCCTCTCCAGACAGGAGATGTGGCAGCTAGCATTATTATTATATGATGTGTACACAGAAGGTCTCCATTTTTCACCCTCAGGCACCTGCAGAGCTGAGGAGGGAAATCCCTGCCTGAAACCCTGGAGAGCAATTTTCTGTTAGTAAAGGCAATGTTGAGTTAAATGGACCCAATGAACTGATTTGGTATAGCTTCTTATGCTCACCCATCCCCAAACAGCAACTGGACTGTTTGGCATTTCGAAACTATACGTTCCAGCTGTATGTGTGAAGCTTCATGTTCACCAGGGAATAGAGAGCTGTTTTGTGCCTCTATCAAAAGAAAAATTATCATTTTACTGTTGTCTGCACAAAATTGTTTTAATAAACATTATTATTTCCCTGCACAAAGAGTGTAAAGATGGGCAATGGATTATTGGTGAAGGTTTCCAGGCAGAAAAGTGAAGAAATGTTGATGAGTAAAACTCTGAGCCAACTGTACTATACACCACAGGTTAGACAAAAAAGAATAAATTTTATATTTGAAAAAGAACAGGAGCAAGAACCTTCATAAGCTGTCAGGTCAGTGAAACTTGTGCTGCAGAACACATTAAAACATTTTACCTTGCATGAACAATGGCAGAAAGGAGAAAAGCAACTCACTTGGTTTTATATTTTTAACACTGTCACCTTGATCTGGAAACAGTCTGCAGAAAAACATTCTGGAAACAGGAACATGCAAAAGCCACGTGAGTGGAGAAAAAATAAACCCTACACCCAGCACACCACCAGTGGCACAGAAAGCTATAGAGGATGCAGTTTCTGGGCCTGCTAAATGCATACAGATTTGTGACTGTGTAGAGATCTCTGGACCCAATCAGTTGTTAGATGAGGAAGTAGAAGCATGGCAGTGATAAGACACACTGGGTGTTCCTTTTCCCCTTAGTAAATAATCAGGAGTTTCCAACAGCACCAGTTCTTTATGTGGTAAAACATGTAGTTAGATACAAATCTGCAATCAGATTTTTTTTTTAAAATCACAGATTTATAAGAAAGTAGGACAGAATGGACTTATTGAACAAACCACATGTGAAATTGACATGGACTAGGAATGGACTGCTCCATCTGTACTGGGAGCAACAGCTATATAGACTGTATTAGTTCCTCAGGTCACTGTGACTGGCTTCGCTTAAAGAAAGTAATTCTTTCAACAGCAGAGCAATGTGCTTGGTAATATGCTGCTCAGGGATCCAGCACACTTCCATGTGCCCTTAGGCTTTCCCCTGGGAAAGCCCACAGTTTAGTGCTGAATTGGAACAAACAGCAATTGGGAGTTCCACGGATTGCCATTTGTTCCGATACAGCACTAAAGAGCGGGTTTTCTAGGGGAAAGCAGCAGGGCAAATGCAAAGATGCTCAGATCTGTGCTTTCTAGGCACAGGACAAGTGGAAGTATGGATGACCCCTCAGAGAGCAGTCAAGATGCTGCATTTTGCACCAGCTGTAGTTTCTGGACCAACCTCAAGGCAGCCCCACATAGAGTGCATTGCAGTAATCCAATCTAGAGGTTACAAGAGCATGGACAACAGCAGTCAGGCTGTCCTGAACCACAGTAAGCCATAGCTGCAACTAAAGTGGCAAAGGCACTCCTAACTGCCAAGGCCACCTGGGCCTCTAGTGACAAAGATGAATCCAGCATCACATCTAGACAATGAACCTGCTCCTTCAGGGGGAGTACAACCTTCCTTCAAAGCAGACAACTGACCAACTGTCTGGACTCAGGACCAGCCCACTCACAGTACCTCCATCTTGCCAGGATCCAAGTCCACCGCTGTGTCTAGGTGGCCACCCAGGGCTTGCACAACCTCTGCTAATTTAGATGCCACTGATAATGTTTCAGTGGGTTTCCAAAGGGTCTAAAACTCCCTCACCTTCAGTAAATACCAACATATACTGGACAATACAAAAAAGCTTCAATCAACAGCTCTTTGATGATTCAATGTAGGCAAAGAAGTAGGCCACCATGCACTAGGCACCATTGTGTGGTCTCACTCATGTGCTCACACATGTGTGCATCCCCCTGAACAATATGGAGCTTTCAGCAACAAGGAGGACCACTGTGGCACAGCCTCTGCTAATATATGTGTGTTCTGAATCCACCCCACTTGGCCACTTGTCTTTGAAGACAGATACTAAAGGAATTTTCACATACAAGCCTTAAATAACCTTTGGTGTTTTTTTCTGGAGTTATTTGTGGATCGAGGGCCCGACCCCCGCTATGTGAAATAAATACACAAGGACACGTGATATAAGGTTAATGGGCAAGGAAAGGCCACAACTTTATTGATTACAGCAGTGAAAAGGTATTGGCTTAGGCATTGGATGACTATAGGAGGTGGGTTTATTCAACAGTAGGTGGAGCCTGTTGATGCTAATCCAACTATAGGCTCACCCCCTGATGTCACCGAGGGTCGTGCCATGGCCTCCCGCCAAGCAGGCATCGGACGGAATACACGACCGCCAGATTCCTTTAACGGAATAACCCACAGTAGATAGCATAGGCGATGGCCACACCTAGCCCTTGACACAGCACAACACATGAATCCAATGCCTAACCGCCACCCGAGCCGCAAAGGGGCTCGCTGCCAATACCCCCACAGCTGCTCGCTGAGGGACGACAACGAATGAGGAGGAGGCGGAGCTGGCACCACAGCATTAAGCTGCTACACACGCCCCCCGGAGGCACCTGGTTGGCTGCCTCTGGTGGGCGTGGGCACCAGCCAGGTAAGGAGGGGAGGTGGCTAAGGCCCCCTACCAGGGGCGGAGCTCGGTCTCCCGCCCACAACCACTCCCCTCTCTTCCAGGGAGGAGAGTCTTTATGTGAATGTGTATTTAATAATTAGGTGGAACATATATTTCTGTAATATGAATGTGAAATCTGGTCTAAGGTTACCAGACATCCCCGTTTCTCAGGGACAGTCCCTGGATTTACAAATCAGTCCCCTGACAAAATCCATCTATTTAGTATGAAGTTGAAAAGTGTCCCCGGATCGATTGAAAAAAATCTGGTAACCTTAATCTGGTCAGACTGTAGACAATATGCACCAGTTGAAACTTAAGGTGGTATATGAAAATGCTCTCCATCAACAAAAAATAGTTAAATAGCTTGTGGATTGGGCTGTCAGGTGAGAGACATTTTGGCAGTAAGTATGGCATTCTTACTGTTGCAAACATTTTGCCAGCACAGCACAATACAGTACTATCTATTCACTTCGCCTTTCCCCCTGTGAAAACAGTCAAAGAATGCTCATACTCTACTTATAACCATGTAACGTTCTAATTTTCCCTCGCATATTAATATTGCTGCCACCCCAAAAGAGAAGTTTTGTTGTTACCTCTTACCGACAGTTATTTCGACAGTTCTTTTCTGAAAGACCATCCTCATCTTCTCCAACAATATCCACAGCTGAAAATATCAGTGCAACGAGAATTGCAAAGCAGCAAACCAGTGCAAAGATCACAATGCATTTTTGCTGGGACTGAAAGAGATTAAAATGGAAAAAATAAAAATGCTAGGAAGTGAAGTAATAATATCACAATTGTTATAAAAGCCTTTATGTCATAAATGTAGGCATAACCATTTTATTGAATACAATTTTCTTTCAGAATGCAATTGGTTTGATCAAGGAGGTTTCATGAAAGTAATAAAACACAACAAAGTAGTGTCATAAGCCTGACAGAAACATTCACATTCCACCCCCCTTCTCTTTTTGTCTCAATACAACTGTATTAAAATATCTTCTGCATATATTACTGGGAGTATTTTTTAATAAGCATTGCATACACTAAAGTATGATATGGAACAAAGCCTTTTTTTAAATAAAACTTTTCAATCTTCCCAAATTTGAGGTGAAAATTGAATCACTGGCACCAAGGTGTGATTGTACAAAAGAGTACCTTGAAACTGAAAGATGAGCCCTGTGATAACAAATCCTGTCTATAAAAATAATTTTAAGTATGCAAGAAGAATAAATAATAGGGTAAGATATTCCCCATTCTCACAGGGAGGTGACAAAAAAAATCATTCTCATGCCAACCTCTCTTATCTTATGGGAGCATCACACTGGATAATGTGGTTGTCACATCAAACTCCATTGCTTGTTCAAAATACACCAACTGAGTTCAAGGTCAATTTTACATAAAGTTCTGTGAGAAGTGTATACTTCTTTCTATAAAGAAAAAGAAGGAAAAACAGGGGCTACCAATAATTATCAACTCAATCCAGCTGGATCAGGCATAACTGCAGACATAAACTAGATGTGCATCCAAGTACATATCCGTATGAACAATTGAGGGTAGGTACATCACTGTTGACAGTGACACACAAATACACACACACACACACACACACACAGCCTCTGAAGTCTTATCTTTAACTTGTGTTTCTTCATCTTCAGCCTACCTCATGGCTATTTAAAGATTATTTACATAATCCCGCAACAATTTCATGCAATTCAAAAAATATATTGAACTGCCGTATTTCCTGCTAAAAATGAACTATCATGAATTAACAACAGAAGCTCAAGCACAATATTTTAATATATTAGGGGCAAATAGAGGCCATAAAAATCAATGAAATTTTGTACTTTTTTTTACAGATAAATTCACCCACTGTACAGAGGTATTATGTATTACACTTGAAACGGGGTCAGTGTTATGTTCTTGTTAAAGAGAGACAAAAACATGCTCCGCCAACTTCCTGAATTCCTGACTGAATTACTACAATCTGAGAATTAAATAATGTAGAAATCAAAATGGATACCTTAGCCCGGAATAATTATTGCAGATATCTGCTTTAGCTACTTCTTATTCCTTCAAATGGCACTATCCTGACACAAAGAAACTAGTACTGGTGCTGCAATAGAGTGTTGATAGCAAGACAATTAAAATAACTAACCGTCAAGTTCAGACGTTTCACATCTATATATCCCCAGAGTGGCGACCTCTTCCTTCATATAGGTGGGACACTGCCCACTATAAAGCCCCCTGCCCAAGTTATAACCAAGTCTAAGTAGGACCAGAACCACCACAAAATGATGCCACCAACCCCTAACTCGGACAGCAGCTCCAGAAGGATACAATGGCCGATAGTATCAAAAGCCACTGAGAGGTCAAGAAAAATTATCAGGGACACATTTCCTCTGCTTCTCTCCCAACAGAGGTCATCATACAAAGTGGGAACTTATATAATTAACTACAAAGTTCCTTATTCAAGCACTGCCTAGATCCAAACCTGCTCAGCTTCAGCAAAATAACAGGTTCATGCACTTTTGGACTATAGCTGGGGACCTTCCCGCACAGGTGAAAGGTAAGCCTTTATTAAGTAAAATATAAAACTGATTCCATGATCCTGAAAGGCAAAAGCCAATAGGAAGTATATGGAAATTTGTACAAAGGTAATGACAGTCTAAACTGAACATCTTCTACTACTACTAAAAAAATAAACAAAAAAAGCAATTAAAGTTGGATGTGTTCAGTTGTAGATTCATGCAAGCTTTCTTTCCCAATTAGTTCCCACTAATATGCATTTATATTCTAGCCCTGTGCGTGATTCCTCATGTATTAAGTTAACAGGACAGCTGTCATGGTTCAGGATTGAGGGATATCAGTGTTTCTCTGGATAATCTTTCATGAAAATTATTGGGATTTAAAAGTTTCTCTTTTTCTTTTTTTTTTGCAGATTTTGTATAGTACCAAAAACATGGAAAAAAGAAACAACTGAAGAACAAAAAAAATATCAAACACTATAAATACTTTTTTATGCTTACAAATAAATTAGATGTTGTAATTTCTTAAGAACATAAGGGCAAGCCTCAAACATCATAGCCATAAGAGTTAGAGAGAGAAGTCGAGCACTGAAAGAAAGAGGAAACTTGTGTGATGCTGCTTAAAGCTGCATGCTGGAAAAATACTAACAGAAACCCACAAATTAAAAATACGTAAATTTTTAAGACAGACTATTTTGCTATTGATAAGTCCAATTTATTATTTATAAACCCTTGTGGTCAACTGACCATTACTGCATCCTCCTGATAAATATCTTATTCCATCTTTTCATATCAGCACAAAGCAGAAATGTCCTTCTAAGGATACTTGCTGATGAGATTACAAGAATTATTTTAATTGCACACCTACCATCTGAAAAAATTACTGACTGGTATGGCAGATGGGCACTATAAAAAGTATCTGCTTCTGATTTTTAAAAAAAATCATTTCAGCATCAAACATGCTAATTGCACTTTTTCAAAGCAATAAATGAGACATCTGGAAATCTGGAAATAGTTGCACATTGTTTGCATTAAAGTCAATGGATGGTTATTGCAGAGAAGTTGGTAAAATGTGGGCTGGACAAAGGAATTGAGAGGATGCTCATCAAATCTGCAGATGACACCAAACTGGGAGGGGTAGCCAATGCCACTGAAGACAGAATCAGGATTCAAGATGTCATTAACAGATGGGAGAACTGGGCGCAAACTAATAAAATAAATTTCAACAGGGACAAATGTAAGGTTTACACTTAGGCAAGAATAACCAGATTCACAAATATAAGATGGGGGACACCTGGATTACCTGTAGGACATGTAAAAAGGATCTAGGGATCTTAGTAGACCACAGGCTTAACATGAGTCAACAGTGTGATGCAGCAGCAAAAAAAGCTAATGCTATTTTCAGCAACATCAACAGAAGTGTAATGTCCAAGTCAAGGGAAGTAACAGTACCACTCTGTTCTGCCTTGGTCAGACCACACCTGGAATACTGTGGCCAGTTCTGGGTGCCACAATTTAAGAAGGATGTTGACAAACTGGAACATGGGCAAAGGAGGCTGACCAAGATGATAAAGGTTCTGGAAACCAAGCCTTATGATGAACTGTTGAAGGAACTGGGTATATTTATCCTGGAAAAGAGGAGACTGAGAAGAGGTGTGATAGCATCAAGCTTGTTTTCGCCTGCTCCAGAAGGGAGGACCCGAACCAATGGATTAAAGTTACAAGAAAGGAGATTCCGACTAAATATCAGGAAGAACTTTCTGACAGTAAGAGCTGTTTGACAGTGGAGGTTGTGGACTCTCCTTCCTTGGAGGTTTTTAAGCAGAAGTTAGATGGCTATCTGTCATGGATGCTTTAGTCGAGATTCCTGCATTGCAGGTGGTTGGAGAAGATGATTCTCGAGGTTCCATCCAACTTTACAATTCTATGATTCTATGAAAAGCAATATTAAAAAGAGACAGCAACAGAAATCAGCACAATGAACTTATAACCATGCTCATAACTAAGGGATAGTGAACTTGTGGCCTTCCATTTATTGTTAGACTACAATCAACCATAACTATTGGCTGGGGTGATGAGTTGTAGTCCAAAACATCTGGAGGGCCATAGATTCTCCAGGAGTTACGCAGGAATTTAACAGGCTCTGACCCAGACTCTCAATAGTGATAGGAGAGGAATACAGAACCGAGCCTTCAAAGATGACTTAAGTGGGAAGGCAGGGTCATAAAGGAGACAGCAGTCCTTTGTATTATTTTCAGTGTTGGGAGATATATAATGTTATTTTTTATGCCCCTGAAAAGGATCACAGTAAGTCATTAAATTACTCTTTTTGAAAAATAAAGGTGATCTACAGAATATGCAGACATTCCATTAGCTTACAAAAAGACAGTCTGTGCAGTTGCCATAAATAGTATTGCAGTTAGTCTCATTCCACATTGCATCCATTAGCAATCTTTTAACCTTTAATCTCCCGTCTATTTCCACTTTATTTTAAGAACATTAACTGGCATACCAAGCATGACCAGTGTTCCTTTTAGCTACGTATCTTCTCCTAAAGGGACCAATACCATTTGCTTTAAATGGCTTCTTAAAATATATCATAAAGTAGCTAGAGTAATTTATTTAAAATATTTCTGCATAGCAAGGACACAGGTCAATATTAGGGGGCCTAAAATGTAGTATTTGCACATTATATAAGATCCCAATTTGAGCCTTGTAACCTCTGTTGAAGGGAAAACCAGTACTGCTCTTAACCTCCTAGATGTTTCAAGACCTTGCGGCTGATCAGGGTTGAAACCTGGTGGATGGACAATTGGTCCGGATGCAATATAAGGGATCTCTATATAGTTTAAGTATGCAGACATCATACTGCCAAATTGAACATGAATGGCTTCTAAATACAATCCTACAATCCCAGTGACAGTCTAAATGTATGCTCTTTAGTGGAAATCTTTATACCAAACAGCTGCTTAAAAATGGTGTCAACATTTTCTTGTTCTGGCATCTGCTCTTCAGTACTCAAGCACATCACTCAACTCAATGAAACTATATTAGCCATACTATATTAGCCTTATCTAGAATGGAGGCTGAGCACAGAAATTATCTTGAAACGCAGGTTTCAAGACCTGCGTCGAGCCACTAACCACAGCTAAATCTGCAACAGCTGTGTTAGCAAACTCCTCAGCATACCTGGTGGGTTCTTTTTCTCTTTG